AGAAAAAAAGAAAAATAAAAAAAAAAGAATAAAAAAAGGGGGGAGCGGGGAGGAATAGTTCCCAGGAGGAATGAAAGGGCCGGAAATCTCCCTCTGCGCCCAAGAGGACCTCAGCACCGCTAGTAGCGCAGATGCAGCATGGAACCCGTGCCATACCCTACCCTTCATGCCAGTAAACCAGCAATCCGGAATAGCAACCTCACATCTGCCGAGCTACCTCGGTGGACAAAAGAGAGGGTGGTCAGATATCCGCCACAAAGCATACCTCCTTCGGCCACCACCCCTGGAATCCGAAAGGTGGCTTCCAGAGATACACCCGTCGCCCGAAAGACACCCAAAGCTACTCCGGGATACCGGAGAGGGATCGGGACATCCCCAGGCGATCCAGATTCCACGGCAAACTATGCCACCGCCAAGAACCTCAACAGAATGGGATGGACCCCGGTGTCCTTTCCCCTACCTAGGAACTAGCGCGCCTGTGGGAGAAATCCCAAAGGCCAAAAAGAGGAAGGGCAAAATGAAGGGGTGGGGAGGAGGAGGAGGAATGGAAAAAGGGGAGGATGGGGAGGATGGGATAGGGGAGGGGAGATTGGGGGGTAATTAGGTTCGGTCTGAGAAAGAAGACCGACAGGTCAAATTCCTCAGACCAAGAGCCTCTTCACCACACCAAGGAGCCCCCCTTGAAGAGGTATGATTTCGTGAGTGGAGAGGAAACATTGTCACCCTCACAAGAGCTGTATAACACACAAAACCTGTCAGGGAACAAGACCCACACACAACACCTGGATACCTTTACTGGCAACAGGTTTCGCCCGCCACAATTTTCAATCCAACTGAGAAATTAATTTTTAAAATAGGTACGAGGACAGGTGGTACCTGTGTGGGGAAGAAGGAACCTATTTTAGGCAGGATGATCCTTTAGGGAGTAAAGCGCAAGAAGACCGGAAAGTGAGTATGGCGTCTGGGGATCAAACTACAAACCTCAGTCAGGCAGAAAGACCTAGAGGATGAGCACAGTGCCGAGCCTATCTCCAGACACACCCACCAACCGGTTCATTTCAAGTCTATCTACCACTTGAGGGTCATGAAGGCTACCTATCACCTGCTCATCATCCGCCAAGAATACTTTAATACCTAAAAGAGGTATTAAAAGTGAGCTTTCACTGTATATAATACCACAGAGAAAATAGGAAATACAACCTGAGCTCTTTCATGTAATTACATACACATCCTCACAACTCATCCTCTGAAGATGTGTGTGTAAGCACGCGAAAGCGCTCAGGATTAATTTCCTATTTTCACTGATATTTTTACGTATTTGAAATCATGTGTTTTATCGTGAGTTTTTTTCCATCCATACACACACACACACACACACACATATAGGTATAATCTATACTTCTAGCGTATATATCCTGTCGTACGTATAGTGTCGAGTGCTGTGTATGGTATAGCGTAATGTCACACACGATTGTTCTACCGACATACTCACGACTTACACACTGTCACGTACACTGAACTGACTACACACTGCCACGTACACTGAACTGACTACACACTGCCACGTACACTGAACTGACTACACACTGCCACGTACACTGAACTGACTACACACTGCCACGTACACTGAACTGACTACACACTGCCACGTACATTGAACTGACTACACACTGCCACGTACACTGAACTGACTACACACTGCCACGTACACTGAACTGACTACACACTGCCACGTACACTGAACTGACTACACACTGCCACGTACACTGAACTGACTACACACTGCCACGTACACTGAACTGACTACACACTGCCACGTACACTGAACTGACTACACACTGCCACGTACACTGAAAATGACTACACACTGCCACGTACACTGAACTGACTACACACTGCCACGTACACTGAACTGACTACACACTGCCATGTACACTGCAGCAACTGCTTCGTAGTCCCTGCCTCGCACTCTCCTCACAAACTGCCCTTGGGTACAAATTTAGCACCAGTCTCTCCAGTAATAACATCTACGTACAAGCCTGACTTGCTCGCCTGTTATTTGCTGAAGAAAAACAAACATAATGAACATTCTTGCAAGTAATAACTTAAATGAATTATGGGGAAGCGCTGCACCCGTAAGGATCAAAGAGCACCAGGGTAATGGTGGAGAGATTTGATCCGGGGAAATGGAGGGAAATTAATTGAATCAAGAGCTCTTGCAAACAAGTGAGGGGGACCTCCACACGACCGTCCGTACGTACGTGAGTGGGAGAGAGAGGGAGGGAGGGAGGGATAGGTAAGGAGACTAAGGAGACGGGGAGAGACAGGGAGAAAGGGAGACAGGGGAGAGACAGGGAAAAGAGACAGGGAAAAGAGACAGGGAAAAGAGACAGGGAAAGAGAGAGAGAGGGAGGAGAGAGAGAGAGAGCATATTGTCAGCAGAGATATCTCTGCTGTTTGGTCTGCTTTAAATTCCTGTTTGGCGGATTCTGACAAGTCCGTAACCCTCTCCCTCCCCCTCACTACCCCTCTCTCTCTTTTTTTTTTTTTTTTTTTTTTTTTTTTTTTTTTTTTTACACAGGGTTTGACAAGGTTAAGGATCCCTAGCTTTATTGACAAGCTAAGAGCTGTTACCTACATCAGCTCATTTGAAAGCATTTTTATTATGAGACATACAAGTAGGGAACAGGATGAAGTTGGAGCCATCTGTGGGCCAGCATTTTCATTTGATCAACTGACTTTATCTCGTTGACATCATTATGCTGTACGAATGTGTTCCATACTCGAGTCATCCTGGGTATATATGATCTCAGATGGAGTGATGTTCTGGAGAAGGGTACAGCCAGAGTGAAGTTGCTGCTTTCTGCCCGTCTTGTGGCATAAAAGCTTGTTTCACGCTGTCCTCGAAGTGGATCCAAGTGTGGTACTTTGACAATATTGGCCTTGTACATAACAGTTTAAAGGGCCACCCACATACCTCCTATGTTGAAGGCTCTGCTGAAATGCCAGATCTATCCAGGCGAGAGATGAGACGTCTTGCTCTGTTCTCTACTCTGTCAAGTAGTCGCAGATGAGAGGGGGAGCAGGCAAACCAAGAAAGTGGAGCATACTCAAGGTGTGAGCGTACTTGTGCCTCGTACAGAATCTTGCAACCCCTACTGTCAAGCAGATGCGAGATACGGCGAAGTGCTGTAAGCTTCCTGGCTGCCTTGTTTGCAAGATTTACAACATGGTTCTTCATGGTTAGTTTGGAGTCAAATTTCACCCCAAGGGTATCAACTTCTCCAGGTGCCAACACCCTCCCATTCATCCTTACTACTACACCAGCATTACCATCATGGTGCCTAGAGACGATCATCATTTGCGTTTTCTCAGGGGCAAATGTTACTTGCCATCTATTTCCCCAAGCTGATATAGCTCTCAGCTGGTGATTGATGTAGCTTAGAGCAGCTGGCATTTCTTCTCTTGGATAAGTGAATGTCAGTGTACAGTCGTCTGCATATGCATGTGATTCTGGGATGAGATGAAGAAGGTCGTTGAAGTAGACATTCCATAACAATGGTCCCAGTACGCTTCCTTGTGGAACACTTGCCCCAATAGGATGTCTTGCTGATTCCGTTCCATTGAGAACTACACTTAGAGATCTACCATGAAGGTAATCACTGAGGAGACACAGTGTAGAGCCTGCAATTCCCAGTGCTTGAAGTTTTGCTAAGAGGCCTCTCTCTCTCTCTCTCTCTCTCTCTCTCCCCTCCCCTTCCCTCCCTACTCTTCCATTACTTCACATACAAGTCTTTTCAAGTATTCTTTTGTTTGAGAATTTATAAAGAAATTAATATTTTAGCTGTTGTGGAGCTTACAGAAAATTATCATTGTACCACTAATTGTACCATTCACTATATTGTACCTTGGCCTTCCTGTACCACTGTAATTGTACCATTCACTCTACTGTACCTTGACCTTCCTGTACAACTGTAATTGTACCATTCACTCTACTGTACCTTGACCTTCCTGTACCACTGTAATTGTACCATTCACTATACTGTACCTTGACCTTCCTGTACCACTGTAATTGTACCATTCACTACACTGTACCTTGGCCTTCCTGTACCACTGTAATTGTACCCTGCTCTGAATTTTCCACTAACAGAAGGTGTGGAATTATTATTGCTATTGTTATTATTATTATTAGCTGTAACAGAAGTTAGTGATACTGATGTTAAAAGAATAATAATTCGCTTATTTTAAGCAGTAAATTCGAGGGTAAACTAGAATCTAGAACATACATAAATTGTGGCTGAAATGTAACGTACCAGTAAATAGATAAGGCGGGGTCAGAAACTTTGAATCAACCCCTGCAAACACAATACATACGCTCGCACACAGAAGGGAGACATGATAACGATGTACATGATACTCAGGACACAACAGGATGGACGGGGTTAAAGGCCTTGTAGATGTGATACAAACAACCAGGAATTTATACCGAAACCAGAGAGACCACTAAGTCATAGAAGGGAGGGGGGGAATATCAAGTGCTTACCTTGAAGAGTGTAACACTTAAGTGTCGAGTACAACTTGTAGTGTAACAAGTGTGGAGTATCACTTACCTTGTAGAGTGTAAGAGGTAAGTGTAGAGTACAACTTACCTTGTAGAGTGTAAGAGGTAAGTGTGGAGTATCACTTACCTTGTAGAGTGTAAGAGGTAAGTGTGGAATACCACTTACCTTGTAGAGTGTAAGAGGTAAGTGTGGAGTACAACTTACCTTGTAGAGTGTAAGAGGTAAGTGTGGAGTACCACTTACCTTGTAGAGTGTGAGAGGTAAGTGTGGAGTACCACTTACCTTGTAGAGTGTAAGAGTTAAGTGTGGAGTACCACTTACCTTGTAGAGTGTAAGAGGTAAGTGTGGAGTATCACTTACCTTGTAGAGTATAAGAGGTAAGTGTGGAGTACCACTCACCTTGTAGAGTATAAGAGGTAAGTGTGGAGTACCACTTACCTTGTACATGTTGAGCACCAGCTACGGGCGGGGTCGACACCTCACTTCTACTCCCATAAAGACTGGAACTCTGTCAAAGAAAGATATCTTTTAAGCAAGCACCGTAGTCTAACCAAACCATAACACGGGCGGGATTTGAACCCGCGGTCAGAGAGTCTCAAAACCGTCGCGTTAGCCACTGGACTCTGACCGCGGGTTCAAATCCCGCCCGTGGTATGGTTTGTTTGCAATCGTGTCATTACGATTTCGTGAGTCACCATAGTGTAATAATCATTAAGCAGACAAGAGTGCAACATCTGGGTATCCTTGTTACACAATAAACATACAGAGACGTCGCACGTGTGTCTAATTCTTTCCTGCAGTACACAAATATTCTTTACACGTAATAACCCTGTTAAACACAAAAGAAAGTGACTTAATATGAGGTAAATTTCGGGTAGACTAATCTTAATCATTACAAACTACTGAACAACTAGACACAGGTTACTGAGGAGTTTCTTAAATGTACAAACTTAAGGTAGCTAAGTGAACAATAGTGCAATTTTAAGTGCGCGTTAAAACAAAAAGGGGGAGGTAGCTTAAAAAATAGTACAATCTGGAGTGTTTTCTTCATATCACACCCGCCGCTTACTCCACACACATGGCACGGAGTGAAGAAATTATGAAAACGTGACGTATTTTTATTTTCATGTAAAGTTACAGTAATGTATAGGTACGAAGAGGGTATACTAAACACTTGGTACCAGTACATTATAAGTAACAGACGTAAGATACAAGACTGTTACGGTAACAAGAATTATGGTTACCAAGTACTATGGTAAAGGAAGTGGAACAGATTCATTATTATACCAGTACATGTATAAGGTATACAAGTACATGTATAAGGTATACAAGTACATGTATAAGGTATACAAGTACATGTATAAGGTATACAAGTACATGTATAAGGTATACAGACCATAGCTGACATCAATGACATACTACTATATAGAAAGTTCCTTGTTATGCTGAGCATTTCCCGCAAATTAGGTCCTTGTCCCAAGATGCGACCCACACCAGTCGGCTAACACCCAGGTACCTATTTTACTGATGGGTCAACATAGACAACCGGTGTAAGGAAACACGCCCAATGTTTCAACCCCCGCCGGGAATCGAATCCGAACCCTCGCCGTGTAGAGCGAGAGCTTTTGCCACCAGGGCATGGGGCACGTTAACAGTAACAGTACACACCTGGTAGTGGTGGAGGAGAGCGTGGGAGCGTGCTACATGAAGCTTCAGTGCCAACAGCTCCTTCTCCAGCTCTGCTGCTAAGTTCTCAGGGTTGATGTATTCCTGCAATACAAATATTAATACGTACCTTTAAAATACGATATTGTTGGGATTTTTAACCGCGGAGGGTTAGCCACCCAGGATAGCCCAAGAAAGTCAACGCGTCATCGAGGATTGTGTCTTATTTCCATTGTGGTCCTTAATCTTGTCCCCCAGGATGCCACCCACACCAGTAGGCTAACACCCAGGCACCTCCTTGCTTTCTAGGTGAACGTGACAAATGTAAGGAAACGCTCCCAATATTTCCACCCTTGCCGGGGATCGAACCACGGACAGTGCGAGAGGCGAAAGCGTTGTCTACCAGGCCACGGGACATTTCACTAAACATCTGGTTCCAAGATCACTCAACCTGATGAGCGAGACGTATGTGCACGACACTGTTACATCTTTAATGACGAAACACTTCGCCTCCCCAGCAGGCTTCAGTCGAATACAAAGGTGATTATAAAACCCGAGTGTGTGGAAGAGGAGAGAGAATCTGAGGTGAGCACTTCACATTCTCTCCATGCCTTTGTCTACAATATTTTTATTCGCTTCACTATTCAACTGACGAAGCCTGCTGACCAGGCGTAATGTTTCCTTTATAAAGACACCCAATCGTTAGGGTAGATCACTACTCAAACAGGTCAGATCACCACTGATGCAGGTCAGATCACTAATATAGGTCGGATCACTAATACAGGTCAGATCACTACCGATACAGGTCAGATCACCAGTGATACAGGTTGGATCACCACAAACAGGTCAGATCACCACTGAAACAGGTCAGATCATCACTGATACAGGTTGGATCACCAATGATACAGCTCGCATCACCAATGATACAGGTCAGATCACTACTTGAGAAAACTGAACACGTCAGAGGATGATGAACTGGGCAATCTATCACCTTGGTTACTGCAAGGAGCTGAGAATCAGAACCAGCCATCTAGGTATTCCACAAGACTCGTGTCTTATTCATCAGTTCTCTAAGGTACTGGACAAATTTACCTTTAAATTATATCTGACAGTGATATCCTTGGTTGTATCAAAGGTAACACTGACTTTACTGCGTCATTCTGGGCTAAATATACATAATACAATCGCAAGACAAGTCACAGGAGACAAAATCTACAGCTCAAGTACTTACACACTTCACCGTGCGTCATTAGGAGCTATACAATGTTGCAAAGGTAGCAACAGAAGGGAAAAATTTAATTTCTTCTGTTGCTACTCTTGCAATGTTACATAGCTACTGATGAAGCACGGTGAGGTGTGAAAGTACCTGAGCTGAAGATTCCTATCCCCCTGTGGCTTGTATACATATGCTCACCTTTACATAGTTGGATACATTTTTTTTTAAATACTCCAGTTTTTAGCTAAAATATGTAGATTATCACACTTGTAATCGAAGATGATAATTTACGATTTTTGGGTCAATTTCTTGGTTAGCCCTAAACTTAAAATATTCTGAGCAAAAATGTATTACCTTGGTTTATAAAGACAGGTGAGCAAACACTGGGACACGTTACAAAACGTTTCGGTCTTGGGACCTTGATCAAAGACCCAAGACCGAAATGTTTTTTGTCCTAGTGTTTCCTCACGTGTCTTTTAAAACCAATTTGTGGGTATTAATTACTAAAGTTTATACAACATAGCCACTATTCGTGATTTCAGGGGCCGAGTCTTAGCTCCTGGCCCCGCCTCTCCGCTGGCCACTACTGGGTTCACTAACTGCGGGAGCCCTGTCGTATCTATTCTTAAAATTAGGCATGGATCCCGCCTCTACCCATTTACTCTGTCGTTCCACCAATCACAAATTACGTGTGAATCAAGAGTCGCTTGGCAACTTAGAAAATGAAGGTAAGTGCTTCAAGAACCAAAAGTCACAATACCTGGAGTTTACCTGGGGAGAGTTCCGGGGGTCAACGCCCCCGCGGCCCGGTCTGCGACCAGATAACCAGAAATAGTACACACACAACCCGTACATAGGAGAGAGAAGCTTACGATGATGTCTGGATCCGACTTGGATTATTTACAAGTCACAGTGACACCTGAAGGTGAGGGAGCCAGTATAGAGGAAGATAGGGATGGGACAGAGAGAGGAAATGGAATAGTAGTGGTGAAGGTAATGCTTAAACAGGAAGATGAGGGAACTAGTATATATAGGAGAGGAGGACAGGGACGGGACAGAGAGAGGAAGAAAATGAAGCAGCAGCAACAGAGGTAATGCTCACCTTATTGAAGTTGTCAGAGTGCTGGCATCCCAGGTCACATCTTGTTCGTATTAAAGACTCGATCTGAAACAATCGAAAAACATTAAGTAACTTCTGAAATGCTAACTACTACTGAACTGCTAACTACTTCTATAACTAGCTTACAACTGCCTTTATCACCTTATTACCTAACAACATGTAACTACCTCATACGTTCCCGTAAATATGTTATGTAACTTATTACCTCAGCTACCTAACTGCAATGTCAACACCCTATTATAAGATAGTGTAGTCTGTAATATTCTATATTTCAGGCAGTAAATTACTATTATCACTATCATAATAATAATCACAATAATAGTCACCACTTATTATGACCCACACAAGCTTATAGTCTTCGTAGTAGTAACAGTAGTAGTAGTAGTAGTAGTAGTAGTAGTGGAGTAGTAGCAGAATTGGTAGTAGTAATAATATACATTTTCCTGACTTAACTTCCAGTAATATTGCTATCAAAATTTATCCTAATATAATTTCCAATATTTACAAGGTAATCGTGTTACTTTGATTATCTCTAGTTGCAGTAAATATCAATTACATGAATTATCTTCAAGGGAAGAATGTAATCTGTTTCTTTCTCATTCCACCTGTCTACCCTCTTTCAAGGCTGGCGAAGGGTTCTTCATCCAAGGAACTGGAGACTACCCTTACCTAGATCAAACCTAGTTACCTTTCTCCCACTTCACAGGCGCTGTGTAACCCCTAGGGGTTTAGCGATTCTAAGTGAATATTTAAATCAACTTTTACAGGAAATGTAATGAATGACATCTCGGACTTGTATGAGTCTCCCATTCTGCTTGACATCTCTGTGACTCTCTCTCTTTGTACTTGACATCTCTATGACTTCTCTCTCCTGGCACCTGACATCGCTATGACTTGTGTCTCCTGGTACTTGACATCGCTATGATTTGTGCGTCTCCTGGTACCTGACATCGCTATGACCTGTGTCTCCCCTGATACCTGACACCTAATTTCATTCTCTCTCTCTCTCTCTCTCTCTCTCTCTCTCTCTCTCTCTCTCTCTCTCTCTCTCTCCTTGTAACTAACATCTATGACTTGTGTGTCTCCTGGTACCTAACATCTCTATGACTCGTGTACGTTTACAGCTTGCACCTACTTCCCCATGCACCTGAGTGCTACACAGTGGGAACAAATGCTATGTTTCCCTGTCACATTCCAGCACACAGAATAAGTTTGCTACTGTTGATGTGTCAGTGTGAGCTGGGAGGCTGCAGTAGGGCCATGAGGATATCAAGTATTTCTCTGACGATACATCTGTTATGGCAGCTTCAAATGTTACCTTCCAGTAGAACTGGAGTTACTATTACTTAGGAATTAATGTCTCGTAGAGTAAACAAATGGATTAGGTGAGGGAATGTTTGGAGTGTGGGGGATGTGTGAGAGAGAATAAGTGTGAAAGTGTGCGTGAGAGAGAATATGATGTGTGTGTCATGCATGTGTGTGCGTGTGTATGTGCTTGTGTGTGTGTGCGTGCGTGCCATGTAATATTGGGCGAGGTAGCCAGAGTTCAGCTTTAGGATTATCGACCATATGAGTTATTTACCATTTTGCCTCTACCTCACACCTCACACGTACACACACGTACACGTACACACATCCTCAACCAATTAACCTCAACACACTTTTAACCTGCCTTCAGTATCTCGTGAATTTGTAAATCCACAAGAGTCATACAACGCCTGTGGAATGAGACAATCAACTTTGATCCAAGGAAAGAGAGGGCTAGTTTAAACTCCTTGGATCATGATCTCTTCAACTTCAGTCCTAAAGGGTAAATATTTTACGTAAATCCCAACAGATTAATCCTCAAAGTAATCTCCCTTAATCCCATTATTATTATTATTATTATTAAGCGCTAAATACTTGGTTTCAAAAAACTTTTCCGGGCATGGAAAATATCTTTTTCTTTGCCACTGTCGTACTGATTAAACAAACTGATCGCCAAGTTGGGTGGGTTGTGGGGGTTGAGCCTCAGCTCCTGTCCCCGCTTCTTGACCAGCGGTCCACCAACATTAATGGTCACTGGCCTTCGTAATCAGGCCTAGTCTATATAAAATATCAAAATGTACGAATGACCCGCACACAGGAGGGAAGTGTTTACCACGACGCTTGGGTCTAACCTGGACCGCTGATAAAGCACACTGTTTACCAAGACGTTTGGGTCTAAATTTACCTGGACCACTTGGCTAATGATATAAAGCACCTGTTAAATGGTCCAAGTCGGGCCGAAACGTCGTCGTAAGCTTTGTGTATTGTTCCTTTTTGCTCTTAAAGTCACAATACCGTGACTGAAACAAAATACCAAAAATCGTAATTAGAAGAGGACTTTATGGGAACGTTTCGCTCTATCCTGGTCAATCAATACTTAATGAACGGAGCGAAACGTCGTCATAACCTTCCTCTTGTAAGTGTAGGTCAGCCTAGTCTTTAATATTTGATAGTTTCCTGGTCCCAGATTAAGCCTACTAGTGGAAGCGGCGTAAGTTCAACCAGGTGCGCTTGTCTTGGTACCCATGCACTTACCTGCACATGGTGCTATCTATCTACGATGGAGCGAGGGGTGATCAACCAGGCTGCTTCTGCTGGTACCCATGCACTCTACCTGCACATGGTGGCTATCTATCTACGATAGATTACTTGAAACTGGAGTTCCACAATACAGTAGTCACAAGAGTCAGACATATTAACCCGATAACCACACTACAGTAGCCACACTACAGTAGCCAGACACTACCACACTACAGTAGCCAGACACTACCACACTACAGCAGCCAGACACACTACCACACTTCAGTAGCCACACACACTACCACACTACAGTAGCCAGACACACTACCACACTACAGTAGCCAGACACACTACCACACTACAGAAGCCAGACACTACCACACTACAGTAGCCAGACACAACCACACTACAGTAGCCAGACTACCACACTACAGTAGCCACACTACCACACTACAGTAGCCAGACACACTACCACACTACAGTAGCCAGACACATTACCACACTACAGTAGCCACACTACCAGACTACAGTAGACAGACACTACCACACTACAGTAGCCACACTACCACACTACAGTAGCCACACTACCACACTACAGTAGCCAGACACCCTGACTACCACACTACAGTAGCCACACTACCACACTACAGTAGGCACACTGACTACCACACTACAGTAGCCACACTACCACACTACAGTAGCCAGACTGACTACCACACTACAGTAGCCAGACTGACTACCACACTACAGTAGCCACACTATCACACTACAGTAGCCAGACACTACCACACTACAGTAGCCACACTACAGTAACCACACTACAGTAGCCAGACACCCTGACTACCACACTACAGTAGCCACACTACCACACTACAGTAGGCACACTGACTACCACACTACAGTAGCCACACTACCACACTACAGTAGCCAGACTACCACACTACAGTAGCCAGACTGACTACCACACTACAGTAGCCAGACTGACTACCACACTACAGTAGCCAGACACACTACCACACTACAGTAGCCACACTATCACACTACAGTAGCCAGACACACTACCACACTACAGTAGCCAGACACACTGACTACAACACTACAGTAGCCAGACACCCTGACTACCACACTACAGTAGCCAGACACCCTGACTACCACACTACAGTAGCCACACTGACTACCACACTACAGCAGCCAGACACACAATGACACTACAGTAGCCAGACACACTACCACATTACAGTAGCCAGACACACTACCACACTACAGCAGCCAAACTACCACACTACGGAAGCCAGACAAACTACCACACTACACTACCCAGACACACTACCACACTACAGCAGCCAGACACTACCACACTACAGCAGCCAGACAAACTACCACACTACAGTAGCCAGACCACTACCACATCATACCAGTCACCACAGACCACACTACCACACTACAGCAGCCAGACACACTACCACACTACAGTAGCCAGACACACTACCACACTACAGTAGCCAGACACACTACCAGACTACAGTAGCCAGACACACTACCACACTACAGTAGCCAGACACACTACCGCACTACAGCAGCCAAACTACCACACTACAGCAGCCAGACACTACCACACTACAGCAGCCAGACAAACTACCAGACTACAGTAGCCAGACGCACTACCACACTACAGTACCCAGACACACTACCACACTACAGCAGCCAGACACACTACCACACTACAGTAGCCAGACACACTACCACACTACAGTAGCCAGACACACTACCAGACTACAGTAGCCAGACACACTACCACACTACAGTAGCCAGAACACACTATAGCCGCACTACACACACAGACCACACTTACCACACTACAGTAGCCAGACACACTACCACACTACAGTAACCACCACACTACATACCACACTACAGTAGCCACACTGACTACCACAATACAGTAGCCACACTGACTACCACAATACAGTAGCCACACTGACTACCACACTACAGTAGCCAGACACACTGACTACCACACTACAGTAGCCACACTAACTACCACACTACAGTAGCCACACTACAGTAGCCAGACACGCTGACTACCACACTACAGTAGCCACACTGACTACCACACTACAGCAGCCAGACACACTACCACACTACAGTAGCAAGACACACTACCACACTACAATAGCCAGACACACTACCACACTACAGTAGCCAGACACACTGCCACACTACAGTAGCCACACTACAGTAGCGAGACACTACCACACTACAGTAGCCAGACACACTACCACACTACAGTAGCCAGACACACTACCACACTACAGTAGCCAGACACACTACCACACTACAGTAGCCAGACACACTACCACACTACAGTAGCCAGACACACTACCACACTACAGTAGCCAGACACACTACCACACTACAGTAGCCAGACACACTACCACAATACAGTAGACAGACACACTACCACACTACAGTAGCCAGACATTACCACACTACAGTAGCCAAACACACTACCACACTACAGTAGCCACACTCACTACCACACTACAGTAGCCACACTGACTACCACACTACAGTAGCCACACTGACTACCACACTACAGTAGCCACACTGACTACCACACTACAGTAGCCACACTACAGTAGCCAGACACACTACCACACTACAGTAGCCAGACACACTACCACACTACAGTAGCCAGACACACTACCACACTACAGTAGCCACACACACTACCACACTACAGTAGCCACACTGACTACCACAATACAGTAGCCACACTGACTACCACAATACAGTAGCCACACTGACTACCACACTACAGTAGCCAGACACACTGACTACCACACTACAGTAGCCACACTGACTACCACACTACAGTAGCCACACTATCACACGACAGTAGCGAGACACACTACCACACTACAGTAGCCAGACACTACCACACTACAGTAGCCAGACACACTACCACACTACAGTAGCCAGACACACTACCACACTACAGTAGCCAGACACACTACCACACTACAGTAGCCAGACACACTACCACACTACAGTAGCCACACTACCACACTACAGTAGCCAGACACACTACCACACTACAGTAGCCAGACACACTACCACACTACAGTAGCCAGACACACTACCACACTACAGTAGCCAGACACACTACCACACTACAGTACCACATACCAACTACAGTACCAGACACACTACCACACTACAGTATGCCAACACATACCAATACATAGCCAGACACACTACACACTCCAGTACCAGACACACTGATACTCAAACTAAACACGTAGCCAGACACTACACGCTACAATAGCCAAGACAGCAGACTTATTACATTAAGCTTCACAATTTAGTAGTGGTTTAATACCGTACCTAACACTCATACACATTATGTATTGTCAGAATTATAAACCCTAGCACTGTGTTTATAGGTTCATTGTCAAGATAATATTGATTTTTAGTTAAATTTACACTGGTCGTTTGTTATCCCAGGAAACAGGCGGAAATATTTCTTGTCTTTCTATATTTGATTACGTTATTATTACTAGTACTATTAGTACTTTATCAATACTAGTTTTGTAGTACATTGAACAATACACAAATAACCCGCACATAAAAGAGAGAAGCTTACGACGACGTTTCGGTCCGACTTGGACCATTGACAAAGTCACACTAACAGAGGTGGAGCAGGACGGCTATATATAGGCAGGAAGAGGTAGTAGTAGTAGTAGTACAAGAATTGTATATAATACCGACAGGATGAAATGACACATGCACAACACCCGGGCATCCCCACCGTAGACGTTTCGCCATCCAGCCAGCCACTGGACAATGATAAGGATACATCAGACCGTGAGGCATCTCTCAGTGTACAATGAGGTGTGTATCTGTATATATACACTGATGCCTATCTCACGGTACATACACACAGGTGTATGTCTCTCAGTGTATATACCATAGTTTACGTGACTACATTAAAGTATTTTTGACTGGTGGTGTACAGGTGATAGACAGCCTTAATGACCCTCATGTTGCAGACTTTAAGCCACAATTTACTAACAACCTACAATAATTCTACATCATGCTTCACTAATGGCTACAACAAAGCCATTACTTTGACACTACTGTGTGTAAAAGAATTTATGGCTTTACCGAATGAACTTTAAACTAACGCAGGCTAGATTTAGATAATCTCGGGTTATCCCAGTTTATCTTACCTCCTCCCGTGAGTGCGTGCCGGTAAGGGGAACATCATCCAAGGTACCTGGAGTTCTCAAGGGGTCTGTCGCCCCCTCCTCCTCTTCTCCACTAGGAACCACTGATAACCACTCCTTCCGTACCCCCTCCGTCCATCTGCCAAGAACGTAAGAACATAAGAAAGGAGGAACACTGCAGGAGGCCTGTTGGCCCATACTAGGCATCCACCTGGCAAGTAAAACAAATCCATCCATCCACCTGGCGATGACAACTCACTCATCCATCTCAGGAGTGAAATATCCATACACTGACATTGGGAATAAATAATCCATTCATCTACTTGCGAGTAACACGCATCCACACAGCAATATGGATGTAAAACAGTATAAATATAACAGTGACAATAAGATTTCATGAAGGTTAATCCACAAATATATTGGCACAGTGTAAACCATTAAGATCTGACCTGTTTATAATTTGATAAATCCCACTGTGTGGGAGAAACACTGACTATAAAGGATCATATTACACTGCATTTGTGTTTGTATTTCCAAGACATGAACTTAACGTGTAAGAGAACTCAACACTAAGGTTGTGGTGTAAGGTAACTCGACACTATAGCTGCAGGAGAACTCACCGTCGGAGAGCAGAACAGACGGCGCAGCAGTTGCCCATATAGGTGTACTTTCATGCTTCACCTCACTCTCCTAGGTAACTACCATTATTACCACTGCTAGGTAACTACCATTATTACCACTGCTAGGTAACTACCATTATTATCACTCTGCTAGGTAACTACCATTACCACTCTGCTAGGTAACTACCATTATTACCACTGCTAGGTAACTACCATTATTACCACTGCTAGATAACTACCATTATTACAACTCTCTTATCCACTCTGTTTCCAACTTCATCTTTTTGTCCCACACATTTCTTGATACATCTCTCTCTTTTCGCCTCATAAGTGCACTTTTTCAATTCATTTTGAACCAAGAGCTAGAGCTCTTGTAGTACATATATCTACACACTCTTGTATCCTACAAGCAGCTAACATTTTTTCAGAATTATAGCCACTGTTTCAGAGCTGAAATTCTGGGATTCTTTTTTCAACTTCCCTCTCATAATACTTCCAGTATCCTTCGTCAAATCTTGCTAGATACATTACTAGATATGTCTCTTTTCTTCTTTCTTGTCTGTTTTCTAGAGTTTGCCTTCATTATTCAACGTTTTCTATGGTCCACTGTATTATGTCGGGTGTCAATAATAGAACATTATACAGGAACGTAAAAAATAGTGAATCCTTTTTGTCACAGTGCTGTTTTATGCAATAAAATGCATGACTCACGAAATCGTAATGACACGATTGCAAACAACCCATACCAAGGGTGGTGTTAGAACTCGCGATCAGTCACAAAACTCCAGACCGACGCTGGTCCAGTGGTTAACGCGTCGTTCTGGAGTTTCATGACTCTGATTGCGGGTTCTAACCTCACCCGTGGTATGGTTTATTATGCCTACTCCCTGTGCTCACCTACCAGTAAATAGGTACCTGGGTTACAGCAGACTGTTGTGGGTGACATTACAGGGACTGAGGGTGTTAGTAACATACATTACATAGGCAGAGGCTTTATAATGAGTTGAGGTAAGATAATAGCTTTTTTCTGTACAGTGAATTGTGTGATAAATTAGACACATGTGCAACTCTTGGGTATCTTTATTGAGGAAACGTTTCGCCACACAGTGGCTTCATCAGTCCATATGTACCTGGAGTTTACCTGGAGAGTTCCGGGGGTCAACGCCCCCGCGGCCCGGTCTGTGACCAGGCCTCCTGGTAGATCAGAGCCTGATCAACCAGGCTGTTGCTGCTGGCTGCACGCAAACCAACGTACGAGCCACAGCCCGGAGGAGAATGAGTCCCTCAACCTTGAGTCGATGTGTTCAGTCCATCAATCTTGATTGATGGACTGAACACATCGACTCAAGGTTGAGGGACTGATTACCTCATTCTCCTCCTGTTCTTCAAGTTTCTCCTACGTATGGACTGATGAAGCCACTGTGTGGCGAAACGTTTCCTCAATAAAGATACCCAAGAGTTGCACATGTGTCTAATTTATCAATATGTCGGTTCTCTGAACCATTCATCTACAGTGAATTGTGTGTACACACAACTTTCAACAAAGACACCCCTCAAGGAAGATTCCTTGATGTTGGTGAGGGGCTCTTGATTTAGGGAATTGGATCTGTGCTCCAGTTCCCCGAATTAAGCCTGAATGCCTTCCACATCCCCCCCCCAGGCGCTGTATAATCCTCCGGGTTTAGCGCTTCCCCCTTGATTATAATAATAATCAACAAAGACAATTATATACTGTGAACAAACAAAAGATAATTATAAACTGTGAACAAACATAACTATGAACTGTGAACAAAACTATGAACTGTCGACAAACAAAACAGTTGTATACTGTGAACAAACAAAAGATAAAGATTGAGACACTTATGCAGCATATGGGAATCTTTTTCCGGAAACGTTTCGCCACAGTGGCTTCATCAGTCCAATACAAAGAGGAAGGCGTGAGGAGAGGAGGAGTATGAGGTAATCAGTCCCTCAGCCACTGTGTGGCGAAACGTTTCCGGAAAAAGATTCCCATATGCTGCATAAGTGTCTCAATCTTCAACTTGTCGGTTTTTCGAACCATTCATCAAAACAAAAGATAATTATAAACAAGACGTTAAAAAGTAAAACGAAAGACATTAAACTAAGAACAAAAGATAACTTTAAACCGTGAACAAACAGTGAAGTTTGCTCCATTAAGTAGCACTAACAGTAGCTGGAAAGTTCTAGTAGTGGGTCCGGGCGCAGCGCCGCGCGACGCGGAGCAATGCAGTGACGCAGAGCAGTGCAGTGACGCAGATTATTATTATAATCAAGGGGGAAGCACTAAACCCAGAGGATTATACAGCGCCTGGGGGGGGGATGTGGAAGGCATTCAGGCTTAATTCGGGGAACTGGAGCACAGATCCAATTCCCTAAATCAAGAGCCCCTCACCAACATCAAGGAACCTTCCTTGAGGGGCAGTGACGCAGAGCAGCACAGTGACGCAGAGCAGCACAGTGACGCAGAGCAGCAGTGACGCAGAGGAGCACGACGCAGAGCAGCGTGACGCAGAGTAGCACGACGCAGAGCAGCGCAGTGACGCAGAGCAGCACGACGCGGAGCAGCGCAGTGACGCAGAGCAGCATGACGCGGAGCAGCGCAGTGACGCAGAGCAGCGTGATGCAGAGCAGCGTGATGCAGAGCAGCTTGAGGCAGAGCAGCACAGTGAAGCAAAGCAGCGTGACACAGCAGCGTGAGGCAGAGCAGCGTGATGCAGAGCAGCGCAACGCAGAGCAGCGCAGTGACGCAAAGCAGCGTGAGGCAGAGCAGCGCAGCGCAGAGTAGCGTGAAGCAGAGCAGTGACCCAGCGCAACGCAGAGCAGCGTGACGCAGAACAGCGCAGCAGCGCCGACCAGCACAGCGTAACCAGTGTCTGGCAGAGGCCAGGAAAATGTGTCAACCAGGTCACATTATAAAACCCCTCGCTAAACCAGTCTCATTTCCTCTCGCTATGTAGCAAAACGTTTTGTAACTAACATTTCTAGCAAAATTCTAGGGTGGGAGTTTTTCCAAATGCTACGACCCATGTTATTATAGTAGACACGTATTTCGAATATATTTTAACCATGTTTAAAAAAACTGTTTTCTCCCTGGTACAACTTATACGAAATGGGTTACTCTATGAGGTAGTATACCATGGGATAGTCATACCATGGGATAGTTACACCATGGGATAGTCATACCATGGAATAGTCATACTATGGATAGTCATACCATGGGATAGTCATACCATGGGATAGTCATACCATGGGATAGTCATACCATGGGATAGTCACACCATGGGATAGTCACACCATGAGGTAGACACTGTGAACGGAGGGTAGCTATGTTTGTCTGTCACATTCCAGTATGAAGAAGGGGCTTCAAGCAGATATTTAATTCACTTTGAGGTGAGAGACTAAAGAGACGCCAGTGTTAAACATTCTACTGTGGATTCACTAACTACAGCAGCCTCAAAGGTTCCCTTCAAGTTCTTGAAAAAGACCCCTGGCTGTCTTCGAGGCGCTGGACAGGTACCTAAAGTCAGTACCTGACCAGCCGGGCTGTGGTTCGTATGTCGGTCTGCGTGTGGCCAGCAGTAACAGCCTGGTTGATCAGGCCCTGATCCACCATGAGACCTGGTCTCAGACCGAGCCGCGGGGGCTCGAAACCCTCTCCAGGTACACTCCAGGTATGGGTTGAGTAGCTACTGCGGATTCACTTATAGCAATATTTAATCCTCATTAAACAATGTAACTATGATCAGTTAGGTTTACTGACTTTTCAATACAAAACTTTGGAGCTGAAACGAAAAAAAAAGACGCAGGCAGAGAGAGTTCAACCTTGCACAAGACGTAAGGAAGCAGAGTTTTAACTCTGCACAGGAAGGTCAGCGCAGAGTCTGTCTGCAAGTCTCCCAGATCAAACTCAACTGTTGTTTTTATAAGCCAAAACTACTGACGTGGCTCACTCAGCAAAGTTCTTACAGTTCATGACTACAATAATTCATATCAATCAATATACGTAGCAACTGTTAGATAACTAAATCGAATCGTACTTTACAAAGCTTATGTGGGATTTAGCTATATTAAATAAGCTTTACAAACTGTAGATGAGGTGCTTGTAGGGATTTAGGGAGTTAAACAAGACAATAAAGACATATATTGAGGCTGAGACAGACATGCAGCACAGACAGCAGTGTTGCGTGGGTGGTGAGACGTAAGACAAGGGTAAGACGCAGCCAGACATACATCAGGCAGCCATCCTAAGTGACGTATCAGCTGGTATAATCAATGACCATCCGAAGGGGAGGGGGAGAGACCTCTTCTATATAATTCAATACTTGAAACTTGGTTCAACTCTCAGCTGTTACTCCCTCACCTCTGTCATCTTTCCTTACTACCATTGTAACTAGTGACATGTCAGACTTCCTTACTACCATTGTAACTAGTGACGTGTCAGACTTCCTTACTACCATTGTAACTAGTGACGTGTCAGACTTACTTCCTTACTACCATT